TGCCCTGCATACAATTGCCCCTTATGCTGTCTCTTATACACATCTAGATGTGTATAAGAGACAGTATATATACAATAAGTATTTTATTTTGAGACATACAGAACTTTTGTTTGACTTCAGCAATGCTGTTACGACAATATTTAAACGAAACCTCAACATTAATTAAAAATACTGTAAATGTCTTAAGACAATGTCAGAGCATATCTAGACAAAATCAAAGTACGCTCTGCATCATAGCCAACCAGATAAAGAAAACGGTTATTATCACCACCACACATGATGAAGAATGTTGGCCACCAACAACTGGCATATTAACATACTGTATGGTGGGAGTAGCACTCAGTATGCGCAGCATTACATAGTAATCGACGCTGCGGACTACTTTTTCTTTCATTTGCATTCATCAAACAGCAAGTAACTCGCTACTTACGATGCTTAGAGAGTGGAGTTTTCTTCACTTGTGAGGAATAAGTCCTGCTGTCACAAGAATTGAACCCAAAAAATGGGATTAGTAGGCAAGTATCTTATCTACTGTACTAAACTATACAGCTCAAAATCTTCAGAAGTAAAAGCAACCTACTGCAGGGAAGAAGGGTAGAGTTTATCAACCTTATGTTAGTCAATAAAGTGCTGTCCTTTTCATATTTTATATCGTACTAACAAGGCTACATTTAGTATATAAAACATTCAATATACTAAACCAGGACTGAACATAGCAAACAGCCCTATGTTAACTTTAAATAAAGCAATATCTGAAATGTATTACATCCTATACATCATGTCATAAATTTACCTCAGTACTATCATAATTGACCAATATATACACAAAATTATCTATATTTACAAATTATTAATCCATGAAATTTTGTAAAAACATTCTGCCATAAGACCAATTAGCAAATAGGCAATCATGAATACATAAAAACAAGTCTTTGGTTTGTAAGTTCATATCACAAGAGTACAATATTCTACACAGGACTAAAGTGAAACACACATTAATAAGCCAATTTGTAGTTAGAACTGCGCATGCTTGTATCCAAGGTCAATTGAGGTCATTAAACAGGAAAAATAGAACAAGCTATGTTACAAATACTATCTTCAATGTGCAAACATTTTATGTATATATTTCTGTTTTACCAAACCTGACTATTGAAGGATAACGTACGATCATAAAGGTTTCAATTTGTCTATTGTATAACATCAATAACAATGTTTTCAATACACATGTATTAAACTATCAGTACTGTAGAACGTGCACAAAAACTTCTCATCCGTAAGTCACGGAAGATTGTAATAAATACGCTCATATAAATTACTGTACCATGTGAAATATGAAACTGGAAATACATAATTAGAACAGTATGTGGGTAGTAATTCAATACCTATCTCACCAATGATACAATCTTACATCATAGCAAATGTTAATCCATAACAATCAAATGATACACTAAATCATGTGATGAAAAGTAGAAGGATTGTAAAATCATGCCCTGCATACAATTGCCCCTTATGAAGTAACTTCAATCATTCGCATGCTTCAATACACCAAGGTGAATAGTAAAATATTGCTAATTAACTCTACTTCGATATTCTTTAAAAATTCAATATTTACAAATTCCATTAAGCCCCATTAATTACAATTTTCAGATTAGCTGTCACACACATTATTCACAATCCAAATCTTAAAAGTTCACTCATCTTCAAGGTATCTGAAATTGAGAAACTGATGAAAGTCTTAGTCTATATTGCCAAAAGAAAGACATTTTATTAGAAATTCAAAAAATCTTCAGAGTTTCGATAAAGCTAACGACAATTAAAATCTATTTTATGGAACAAATGATCCGGTTTCTAAAATTTCTTTAATTTCCAATACAATCTCAGGGGCTAAGTTATTTTCTCGCTCAAACTGTATTGAAGTTATTACACCATTATCTTTCACTAACTCTAACAGACATTTACCACCATCGGTTGCTAGATTATTTCCTTCTACATCAAGCTCAATTACTGACTCATTATCGACAAGTCCCTGAAAGAGTGCAGCACTTGAATCTCCTCCCATTTCACAATCGCTGATGTTCAGTGACTTCAATGATGAGTCGTTTTGAAGAACTTCAGCTAACTGCTTCCATCCATCGAGAGCAATTTCAGGGTTGGAGCCCAAATTTAGAGTCTCCACTCCAGGATGAATCTTCAAGAACTTGGCAATTTCACTTACACCAGATGTGCCAATTTTACAATCGCGTAGATTAACGTGAGCCAGCTTTGATTTTTTTCCATCTTCTAGGTGGTCCTTCTGCTGATCTACCAATGCTCTGACAATGGTCTTGATCCCTCTGTCACCAATGGGATTTCCGGATAATCTTTAAAAAAAAAAAAAATACAAAAATAGTTTGATCCACATTGGGAATAATGAATATTATCACATATGCAAATGGTAAAAATCATCTGCCAATGCTTATAGTGTCAAGAAGAAAAAGAAGTAAAGAGAATGAGAAACAGAAGGAAAAGTATAACAACTTCTGTATTCAATGTACTTACATTAATGATTGGACGTTTTTGTTCTCTGACTTTCTCAGAGCCTTAGCGACTTTACGAGCACCACGTGGTGACAGATCTCTCTTGCTGAAATCCAAAGTCTGGAAAAAAAGCAATACATGATAATATCTGTAATTAATTGGCTAGTGATATTTATGTTACTTTTAAACACTGGAAAAAATTGATAAACTATTTTTATATAACTTTGAAATAATTTCGTAATTAAACACCACGAATATATATATAGAATCATACATTTCCATCATCCGAATGGTTTTTGAGCTTCTCGCTATCTGATTCAGATGACGCAGAGCTACTGCTACCACTGCTGCTGCTGCTGCTGCTATTGCTGGAGCTGCTGCCGCTGCTACTAACACTGGTGGCAGAGGTTGGCCTCTTTCTAGTTTCCTCTTGGTTCAATTCTGCATTAGGAGTATCTTGGATACTAGGTGTAGGTGATACCTGGGGCTCAATTATTTTTACTAGTGGTGGTGGTTTCATCATTCCACTTGCTGTCTGTTCAGAGTTAACATCATGCTTAGATTCACTAGCACTTTGTTTTTCTGAAGTATCACCTGCTGCAATGTCAGTTGATGCATGCGATTCTGTAGATTCTTTGTTATCAAATGGTCTCTTAGTATCATCTTCCATGTAACCAATAGTGGACGGATTCTCTTCGCTACTTCTTAGACTACTGCTGGATCCAAGTGGTGTTGGATCTTGATGAGTCTCTTTGTCATCTTTCTTGTGGGGAGAATCTGAAATTAATTATGTATTAATACTGTTATCAAAAAAATTATTTTTAAATATTATTTAAAAATTGCAATAAATTGTAATAGATAAATATTAGAAACAGTGCTCAAATATAGGAACAAATAAAGTCATAATAATAATAATAATAATAACAATAATAATAATAATAGTGTAGTTTTATATAGCGCACATATCCATCTAATGTAAGATGCTCAGGGCGCTTGATATGTGGACTAGGAACTCGATCAATTACTTTCTTCGCCCCTAAGGGTCCCTTCGTGCCTGTGCTTCCCAGTAACCCGGTACCAGCAACTCTCGTTGTCCACCACAGGGACTGTTTTTTCCAGTGCACCGGGGTAACCCCCTACTCGTCTCGAAGGATGTACTGGGTTCTTTATAGTGCACATGAGCCATTGTATACACTGGGCCTACGTTTTATAGTCCTTATCCGAGAAGACTTGTTCTACCACCAGAACCATAGACAAGCGTGCCTTTCGAACCAGCGCGGATATTATGGCTATAGCGTGCGGCGCCCCTGCTAACCGCTCGGCCAGTCGACTCACCCCATATCAAACATAGTTCATCAACAAAACTGTTAATTATCAGTTGTACATCTCCAGAGAGATGATAACCTGCAACCTCCCACTGTCAAGGCAGGCACTATAAATCTAGACCACAAATACAAAAGATTCAATACAGTAAAACACACCCCCTCACACAAAAGATGCCTTCATATAGTGAAGCTATAAGGTAGGCAAAAGAAAACTCCTCTAACTAGTTGTATTGAGAAAATATGAGCCTGCTATAGTGCAGTGCAATCTCTGGAGGTAATGGGCAGTACACCAGTGGAACAATCATATGTGTTATTTTACAAACGCATGTGGTTATGCTGCTTACGCTGCCATTAGGACCTGACCAAGAATACCAAGAGGGGCTTAGCGGAATGGTATTGTCATTCAATTCTTCACAATACATACCTTTATCTTTTTCTTGATCAAATTCATTCTCATCTTTATGAGATGACTGCTTCTCATTCACTACATTGGGTGTTATTACATCATTTCCTGAATTGTTAGCTGGTCCTTGATCTTTTGTATTATCATCTCTCCCACTGGAGTTTACAGAACTTTGGCTACTTGCTCTTTCAATATGATGTGATGCTGACTGTTTATTGTATCTGTCATTGTGTTCATTGTTCTGACCACCACTTCTTACAGAATCTGTCTCAACATGTCCTTCCTGGTCATGTTCCTCAACTGGGTCCATGTTAGCAATCTCTGCTTCTGCCTCTCGTTCATTTTCCTCTTTATGCTTGTCTGCATCTGACACTTGCTGATTTATTTCATCCTCTTTCTCACTCCCTCCTTTAATCTCAGAATTTGAATCCATACTCTTCTCTTCATTTTCTTTTTCATCTGTAGTGTAATTTACACTTTGTTCTTTCACTGAGTCTTTGTCAGACCCAGAGTCATTTGTTAGATATTCTTTCTTTGAACTAGTTTCATCATCTCCTTCCTGTACTGGTGTGTCTCTGGTACTGTTATCCTGTCTTTTCTCCTCTACATCATTACTGTACACAGCAGCATCTTTCGTACCAACATCAGCATCACCTTTCTTGTTCTCATCTTCAGTGTCTGTAGCAACAAATTCCTCTGAAATGTAATGTCCAAAGGATGTTTTTCGTCCTTGGCCTCTCTCTGATGGGATACTTTCTGTAATAAAATAATCTAACTTTCAGCATGTACACAGAGTCATTTTCTTTAATTCATTGTATTTAATATTATAAGATGATCTATAGAGGATAATATAATTATATTGGAGTGCATCCTAACTACAGTATCACAAAAATACTACGTAAACAGGTATTTAGCTGCTAAATATACACAGCCCACAATGCTGCTGATACTGACTCTTTTAATTGGTGCTTAACAAATCTTAAAAAAAAAAATTATTATCATTGTTTATTATATAATAATTATCTAATCTTACTACATATGTGTATTTTTAAATATTTTATCTTTTTGCATATTGTAATTTGATGTTTGTGTAATATTTTATTGATCTATTTTGTGTTGATACTTTTTAATTCTTTTTGCCTGTTTCAATGAACATTTCTGTTTATGTATTTTTATATGTGAACAGTATAAAATCTTATCTTATCTTACATTTATTAATTTTACAAAAACTAACCTGGTTCAGACTCGATGGCTGCTTCCTCATGTCCTTCCAAAATGGCTATTGGTACATCATTATTGTCCTCCTCATCTGTTTTTGGTTCCTGGTCACTAGTCTCATCTTGCTGTCCAAAAGCCCTAATCTCTTTTTCATTCTTTTCATTCATAGTTGTGTCTTCTTGGATGGATTGTTCTTCAACATCTTCAGATGAGATGCTCCTTTTGTCTTCATCTCTCACTTCTTCATATTTAGATATATTATTTTCTTTCTCAGTTTCTGAATTATCTTTCACTCTTTCAACTTCAGAGCTTTCCCTGCTGCCTTCATTCTCTGATGCCGTTTTGCTTTCATCTTCAGAATGTTCCGTTTTTCTTCTTTTTTTATCAGAAGACTCCATTTTGCTTTCATTATCCAAAGTGATTTTATTTGCATCTCTACTTTCAGTTTCTGAATCTTTGTCTTTTTCACCATCAGAGCTGTGTCTACTTTTTCCATCATCTGAAGAAGATTTATATTTATCATCATGTTCTTTCTTTGCATCTTTTTTCTCCTCTCTGCCTGATGCTTCATTTTCACTTGCACTCACTTTTTCATCATCTTCTTCAAAATAATCATCATTTGAATAATCATAGTCACCTAAGGAAAGGAAATACAGTAATTTTTTAGGATAGATGAACCAGAACAATAAGATAAATCGATAACAATGAAATCATAATTTAAGATAATAAAAAATAATGAATATTAATAAAAATTTTGTTGATGATTATTACAATAATAATAATAAGCAATTCAATTCAGATTTTATTTCTAACGTCCATTGTCCATATCAAAAAATAAAGAAAACAAATATTGTACAAAAGCAATATCAAACAGACATTTGTAAAAGAGAGATGAATTAACCAGAACTGCCAATGTATAACAGTTCATTCCACCTGTCATACAATTTTGACTTGTATCACATTTAGCCTATTACAAATAGTCAAAACATGCATATGTGGGTTAAACCTAAACACAGACATACCAATATATTCAAGGAACGATGGTATATTGTTGTAGACAAACATATGATAATAACAAGTATTATAACAATAACTATCATGTATTTCAATTCAACACCTTTACTTCTCTTTCTACAGCATAAAATTACATTTGCTTTTGTCTGTGGTTTCTGACAATGAGATACTGAAATAATTGTAATACAGTATTTTAGTATTATATAGACAGTGTGTCCTCTAAAAACCATCCATTACAGACAACAAAAATTGTTTTCATAAAATAAATCAAAAGAAACATTTACTTTGTGCCTTACTCTCTGGTTGTTCTTCATCCTTTTTCAAGGTATCAGGCTGCAAGTCGTCCTTTGTTTCCTCCTCCTCTTCTTCCTCCTCCTTATCTTCCTCCTCTTTTTCAAAGTCATCATTATCATAGTTTGTTTCGCCATCAACTACAAGAAATAGTTATACTAATTATTAGATAAGTAGGTACAAATTGCTCGGGGTTTAAAGAATACCTGTCTCTCATTTCCAGGGTGAGAGAATGTTTTTCTCATGAGTATAGACAACGCCACTCCCTAGCATCATAACAATTTTACAGACTATCACATAGGTCCTGTCTGTTTAAATTGGCAATGCCATTAGTGGTCGATTAGAAAAATAAAAAAAAAATAAAAATTAATATAATATACAGAAACTGGTGAATAAAAAAGAAAAATTGATTTTTGTGTTAAAAAAATATTTTTATAGAATGCTATCTCCTTAACATACACAGATTAATACAAATTAATAGATGTATCTATAGCAACACAAATGATATTGCTACACCATATTTCGGTGAAAATGAATGAATAACACAAAATTAGAGATCTATACAATAATACTTGTCGAATCAAAACAAAGTGATTTTATAAACGCTTAAACCTTCTACAGAGAAAAAAAATAAACCTAGACTCTACTTTTCATCACAAAGTCAAAACTTCCTTATGTATGTTGTGATTTCATTTTTTAACAAATTTTATATCTGATGCTTTCTAGTTGTTTTATCATTATTTAATTCCACAAGGAGGAGCCCTCTTATGACATGAATTATTGCAGTATACATCAAGATTTATTAGACTTTATCACCAGCAGAGCAACGTAGATCCTTAATACAGTAGTCTTCAGAAGCCAGCATCCAGTTTAAATAGATCTTTATAAATGCATAATACAAGAAGTCATATACTGTACATATATTAACATCAATGCATTTTTTCTATTAGCCAATCAGCAATCAGTAGATGGAATTATGCAAATTGCCAGACAACAATTATCAACCTCTGGAGGTGAATGGTTGCCATCGTTACTGAGATTACAAGGAAATATATGAGTAATTATTATTTGTCTACATATATGACTTCAATTCATATTTAATAACATACAGCAAGTGGAAAGCACAACTATTACATATGAATACAATAATATTTTATTCTGCATCTTTAATAATACTGCTCTCAATCAATTGCCCTTTCTGCTTCCTTTCTATAATAAATACAGAATTCTAATTATTCATTACCAAGGAATTGAAAAATTGTCTTTTTTCTTACTACACAGACTATCGTAAGTTTTTTAATGTATAAGAAAATTACCTACAGATTACTCAAATTATGTTTTTTATATTCACTCAACCATGTTTCAATATTTTATGTGTTTAATTGATTGAAATTAGGCCTTGATCAAGATGCAAAGGGAATGGGCAATGTACCAGACATGCAAAACATATGCAAGACAAAAACTGCATAAGAGCCAATCATAATGAATATTGTCATCACGCAATCAAACTATCATCTTATAATGCTGATGTAAAAATGCCTGCTGTACAAGACCGTTGTCATGGTAATAAAATCGAAATAGCCATATCGGAAAATTAAATCAATAAGTGAGTTATGATGCCAACTAGATGTAAATCATGGTACGGAAATATTACCCCTATGTGAAAGGCAAGATGTTTCACCTTCTAACTGAATGTATAGAGTACACTAATAATATGAGTGGCATTAGTCAGATATATGTAAACCAAGTGTACACCCTATATAAAAGATTATCTTGTATACATATAAAATAGATGAGATATGCAAGATAAGCTGAAATGGCATGAATTAAAAAGACTTACACATATTAATAAAGTTATGCTGTTTTTATGACCACCTATTATTTAATTACCATATTGTATTTATGATTATTACTTTGTATAGCATCATAAAATACATATTTAGAAATGCATTGTGAAAAAAATTTAATACCTGGTTTACAGCTTTTTTCATTTCATTATTGACAAAAAACACTAAAGCATAATTGACTTATAATATTATAACACCAAATCTGGTTGATCAACAATGACTGACTCAAAACTAATGGTTGATTCTACACTTAAGGTTGATTTTACATAAATGGTTGATCCCATATCAGTGATTGATACTATGCTATTAGTTAAGTTGCTTGTTCACCAATGGTGGGTTGTGTACCAACAAACGTTAATTCATCTCAGCCTTTTATCCCATAGTCAATTTACTATAATAAATATAATGTAGGCCAACAAATATCATATTTATCATAGAAATGCTAAACACTCAATTAGTATTCATGTAATAAAAACATTTAAACAGCTGCTTATGAAGAAACCTGAAACACAATATTGAAATAGAATTCTTGTTTTTCAAACTCATCCTTAAATATGGTTTATGCATCAAAATTATAATTTTTGATTTCAATAATTGTTTTGACATTTTAAAAAATAAATTTCCTTTAAAAATATATTAAAATAGAATTTTGTTTTTCAAACTCATCCTTAAACACAGTTTATGCATCAAAATTATATAATTTTTGACTTCAAAAATTGTTTTGACATTTTAAAAAATAAATTTCATTAAAAAAATATATTAAACTACAATTCTGTTTTTCAAACTCATTCTTAAATTTTGGTTATGAATCAAAATTATAATTTTTTACTTCAAACATTTTTTTAACATGTTAAAAAATAAATGTTACAATCAATTAAAAAAATTATTTCAATCATGCTAGCACATAATTCAATTACAAACAATACAACATAACAATGCTGTTTAATATGTTTTAATTTAGATGATATGGGGTACTGTTAGTAAAAATGACACATAAGCTAATTCTGTAACTATGAATATATATAAGTAATAATCATGTTAAATATGTATACACCTCACGGAATTAAAAAAAAAATTGCCATAGTTTGATCATACTCGTCTTAATTTAAAGTTTATCAATTATAACATTAAATACGTTTATTCATTTAGTTATTACATATAATATTTTTTATATATATATTTTACTTTTTCTTTTCTGAAAATCTTAATTAAATAGAAATTAATAAGTTGCATAACAAAAAATGAAAAAAAAAAAAAATAAAGTAAATAATGTTGTTCTGTTCTCGGCATTGTTTACAAATATTTATCATAAAGATATGTAACAAATTATATGAAAAAACTTCAAGACCCCTACTCCACACTCTACAGGTATGTGAATGACTCCAGCACATACACATTAAGTAAACATTCCTAACAACAGAAGCTAGTTATTCCTGTAAGCAATTTAAATAGAGTAGCATTCCACAAAAATATAATGAGCAGCAGACAAGGAAATATTAGCTGTATTAGTAATTGAAGGTGAAATTGAGGCTTGTCTGTTTCAGTAAATTGGTTTGATCTTTACTACCCATTATACACAATCACTGAAACATTTTCTATTTGATCATATATTAACATATTTAATTTCTAAAACAAAACCAACCATTCTCAGTACAACAATACTCAAGATGAATAGTTAAGTAACTGTATAAATTCAAAATTATATAATCATTTATTCGTTTTTCAAACTCATCCTTAAATATGGTTTATGCATCAAAATTATAATTTTTGATTTCAATAATTGTTTTGACATTTTTAAAAATAAATTTCCTTTAAAAATATATTAAAATAGAATTTTGTTTTTCAAACTCATCCTTAAACACAGTTTATGCATCAAAATTATAATTTTTGACTTCAAAAATTGTTTTGACATTTTAAAAAATAAATTTCATTAAAAAATATATTAAACTACAATTTTGTTTTTCAAACTCATTCTTAAATTTTGTTTATGAATCAAAATTATAATTTTTTACTTCAAACATTTTTTTAACATGTTAAAAAATAAATGTTACAATCAATTAAAAAAATTATTTCAATCATGCTAGCACATAATTCAATTACAAACAATACAACATAACAATGCTGTTTAATATGTTTTAATTTAGATGATATGGGGTACTGTTAGTAAAAATGACACATAAGCTAATTCTGTAACTATGAATATATATAAGTAATAATCATGTTAAATATGTATACACCTCACGGAATTAAAAAAAAAATTGCCATAGTTTGATCATACTCGTCTTAATTTAAAGTCTCTCAATTATAACATTAAATACGTTTATTCATTTAGTTATTACATATAATATTTTTTACATATATATTTTACTTTTTTTTTTCTGAAAATCTCTGTTTGAAGATGTCTACTGATAGAAATTAATAAGTTGCATAACAAAAAATGAAAAAAAATAAATAAAGTAAATAATGTTGTTCTGTTCTAGGCATTGTTTACAAATATTTATCATAAAGATATGTAACAAATTATATGAAAAAACTTCAAGACCCCTACTCCACACTCTACAGGTATGTGAATGACTCCAGCACATACACATTAAGCAAACATTCCTAACAACAGAAGCTAGTTATTCCTGTAAGCAATTTAAATAGAGTAGCATTCCACAAAAATATAATGAGCAGCAGACAAGGAAATATTAGCTGTATTAGTAATTGAAGGTGAAATTGAGGCTTGTCTGTTTCAGTAAATTGGTTTGATCTTTACTACCCATTATACACAATCACTGAAACATTTTCTATTTGATCATATATTAACATATTTAATTTCTAAAACAAAACCAACCATTCTCAGTACAACAATACTCAAGATGAATAGTTAGGTAACTGTATAAATTCAAAATTATATAATCATTTATTCTTTGTCAATCACATCTTCATCACAATCTTCCCAATCATTATCATTATCATAAGAATCATCATCATCCTGATTACCATCATTTTCATCATCACTGACATTATCACCATTATTACTATGATCGCTCTCTCTATCTGATATTAATTCATCCTCACCTGGACACTCCTCTTTCTCCTCCTGGTCCTCCATATCCACTTGTGTTGACTTGCCATCCGTCTGAACTACGGGCTCAGGTTCCTTGGGAGGGACATCAGTCTGTGTACCTTTGTATCTGTCCCTCTCTCTCTTGGCAAGCTCAGCTTCAACAAGACATCTGAAATAACAAAATACCAAAATGTATATAATACTTAAATTCTACACTAGTGAAGATAAAAACATGCCTTTGAAAGCGTAAACAATCTGTGATTTGATTTATTACATGATGTAACTTTAAAATGTACAGTACTATAAGTCACAATGTGCTACTGAATTGAAGTCTCGTAATAGCTTTCTTACTTGTAGCATGGTGAAGCTCCCTCAACACTAACATATCTGAAGTGACCTTTCCTTCCACCGAGGATGACCCCTGGCTTATACTTGTACTCGCAACAGGCACTGATGGTCAGAACCTGAACGCGATTCACATAGAAAGTCATCCCAAATGGGTAGCCTCGATGTCGTCTCGATGTAAACACGCAATCAGCTATAATTTTTTTAAAAAGTTCCAATTACGAATTTAAAAAAATATAAGTTTTCTAGATAATACAAATTAGCTTAAAATTGTGGTTAAATTCTCACATCTGAATAAATTAATTGACATGATGAAAATCCAAGGGAATAATCTCTGAAAATACTCACTTCCTGGTTCCACCCATCCGTGGAACACCATCAGATTTTCGCCTCCACAGTGCTGTTGGTATATCATGATCTCATCACGGTTATCTTCCTTTTCGTACGATATTTTGAAACTCTGCCCTCTATAGCGCACCGTCACATCACACATGGTCTGCGGTGCCACAGAGTGTGAATATGCTGGCTCTTTACGATGTAATGCATATCCTCCTGCCTACAAACCAGAATCATTAATAGAATAATATTAATAACAAAAATAATAACCATAAAAAATAACAATTAAATTTTAAATCCTTTGTTAGAAACTTACCCGCGTTGATTGGGCTTTGATACGTTTTCCATCTTTAGTATAAATCGGTCTTTTAGGAGTTCGGTTAGAACTTGATCGGCCTCCACGCCCACCTTTTGGAGGCTGAGGTGACATCGCATAGTCCAGTTTGTACGGTGACTTTCCTCCAGTATCTGGTTCCTCAGTCATGTGCAACGAGGCTTTATTCAAAGCTTGCGAATCAAGCTAAAAATAGATTTTTAGATATCAATCACTTTCTTTTAATGCATTTTGTTTAATATGTCTTTCAAAATATATTATTAATCCATCTCTCAAACATTCCATCATCAACTTAACAATACTTAATTAGGTTAAAATTTGATTCATTACTTTTTAATAAAAAATGGAACTATTACATTATTAAATAATAAATTATTAATCAATTATAAATAAGGTGGTAATAATAAATTCTTTGAGAAGAATTAAAATCATTTCATACCCCTTTTAAACAAGACGAATCCAAATCTTGACTGTCGCTATCAGGATCATGTTTAACACGATGAACAGGAAAACCGTCATTGTCAACATATACAGTTGGCTACATAGCAAACAAAACGATAATCATTATCGTATATTTTAAAATATAATAATTACTACATATTTTTCCCGACTAACAGGTAAATATTAAATATAAATTTATATAGAGCTTATCTTATATAGGTCTATCTGCGTTAATGTAATTTTAATGAACAACTCCTAATATCAAATTATGACATCATTTGTTAAGTGAGAGAATGCCATTTCTCAGACATTTAGAGGTGCAAATTGGTGTGGAATCCGAAGCCTAAAGCATTTACCAAATAGGCATGTAGGGGACAGCTGCCTTTTAATATTATTTTAAAAGTTTGAGAACCAAAGGGAAAGTGTGATGCGTTTGGAATTATTAAATGCATAGTAATTAAATGGAAGTTATCGGCACTTCTCATCATGGTATTACTGTATCCATAAATTATTCTTCATTTTAAAAGTTTGAGAACCAAAGGGAAAGTGTGATGCATTTGGAATTATTAAATGCATAGTAATTAAATGGAAGTTATCGGCACTTTTCATCATGGTATTACTGTATGCATAATTAATTCTTCAAACCTACTATTACTAAATAATTAAACTAATATATCGGTAGTTATGGTAACATAATCTCTTGTGTTACAGCACATAACAAATCTGTTGCAATGAAACAGCTGCATACTGTACTGTACATTCATAATAAGTTTCAATAATATAAACGTATCATACAGTACATCCACATAGCTTTAAAAATCTCTATCAATATTATATTATTATTAATAATATGAGCTGTTTTTCAATTTATTTTAAATTATTTTATTTTACATTGTTTTACAAAACTGCATGCTTCTTCTTATATCACTTAAAAGGGAACTAGAAAGATATTTTTTTCTGAAGGGATTTTTTTTGGATATTTCACTAGTAATAGAATCAACTTTAAAATCATTTTCTTGCAAATTTTTTTTTATGAAGCTATAGGCCATTACGATTTTGCCCCTTTAGCAGTGTGACTTCAGTGTAAGCTACTGTAACCAAAGATTGTAGAGCACCGCACATTGTGCTATACTATTTTTGGTTACAATCCAGCAGCTTACACTGATGTCACGCTGCTAAAGGGGTAACCATAATGGCCTATAACTTCATTAAAAATTGCAAAAAAATTATTTTAAAGTTAATTCTGCTAATAATGACATAACAAAAAATCCCCTCTGGAAAAAAATATCATCTTTCTAGTTCCCTTTTAAAATCATATACAGTGATCATATTTTAAAAAATTATTACAATAATAATGATTTTAATTGTAATAATATTTTATACATGGTTTTATAAGTGCTTCATAAATCTGTTGTGTAATTCTGTTCTGTTACATATTTTGTTTCTCCGGTTGGTACTGGAAACCTTCCAGACAGATTGGCATTGCCCTCTTTTGAGCAATCCTAACAGGTACTGCTGAGTCATTTTTTTTTCTTTTCTTGTATTTTTATATTAAATAAAATGATATGATATATGACATATAATTTTATATAACTGTACTTTAATTTTCATCTAACAGTTAGTTACTCTAAGAGCTAAAAATGCATCAACTCCTCAGACCACCAGACTTGAAGGGTATTGGTGAAATTTTAAGATTATCATCAGACAATTATGTTCCACTAATGCTATTAAGACCACAGATTGTGACTGACAGAAAAAGCATTAATTCCTATACAACCACTTATAAAAAATAACCTATGAGAAGCCATGCATTCATTATACAAGGCTAATAGATTTTAAATATTAAAAAACAGTCCTCAACAATGTTCAAGGATTTCAGCCCTGGACAATAGGACTGGAGGACAAACATCTCAAAGCTGAAGTTAAAGTATACAATTCTGAAAATACAAAGTAGGAGATAGGCTACCTTTTTTTTGGTAGACTTGTGCCGTTTAGATGGTGCTGTGTAAGGCCTTCTCCTTCCTGGATGATGGTTGGCAGTAGATTCAACAGCAGATTTAGGGCGTCCAGAACGTGAATCTCGAGGCGATAAGAATGGTACAATATCCTCGTCACCTTGATGTGCTTTTTCCATCTGAAATTTCAATTTAATCGTTTATTATATTTGGGAATGGTTAATTGATAACAAAAATATAAAAAATTAAATGAAATAAGAGAATAGCAGTCTTAAAGAAGGTAACAATACTGTACATTGGATAAAAAGTTATTCCTTTTTCAACCATTCTGAATCTTCAATCTACAAACATGAAGTAACTTTTAAGGTTAGATATTCCTTTTTTTTTTTGTTAATTTAATATTTTCACAATAATTTTCAGGAATGATTCATTCCTTTCCCAAGTAGATTGGAGATGAGCCTTACTTAGTCGTTCATGGACTGACTTCAAGTGTCAGAGGTTGTGGCACAAAGATAAAAGAAAGTTTTGTCTCTCACCCTGACTCGGCGAACAAGCTCAATCTTAGCTATTTCTTCAAGCTTCTTCTTAATATCACTCTGGCGGTGACGTTCAATATCAAGCGCTTTGTGCACGATGGCCTGTGCAAGAAGATCACGCACATGAGTCTGATGTTCCTTGCGAGCCATATTCAGCCTGTATGTTGTTTCTGTAATGAGGTCTCCATTTTTAGAGACCAGACCTGCTCTGCGAAGATGTCTTCGCATGCGAGTGTTGTTGAAATAGCCGGCTAAGTGTTTGTCCTGGAGGCTATTGTAGCTAGCCAGTGGTCTGAAAGGGAATAGTAAAGGGTTATTTATTGAGATCAACATATTAATAATAATCTATATTTTTTAAATGCAGGACAGTATCTCAACCTCCAGTAACAGTGCTACAATACTCTTCTTCTAAAGAGTGTGCTTCTTTAGGTCTATAGACCAAGAGCGTTTAACCAGCACCTCACCAGGAGATTAGCTTGGAGTTATGAAAGAACATATAAATCTTTATGATTCAGCACACACACGGTCGAACCTCCAGTTTTAACTTTAAAAACCTGTAAATAAAGTTCTCTTATTTGTTCTGTTGTAGCAAAAAAACTCAGAATAAAATTAAATCTATCTATTTCTACCCAGCTGGAGGCAGAATTTACATTAAGCTGAGGAAGACCCACAATTTGAGAGTAGCAAAATGCCGTAGGTATTAGTAATTATACAATAATCTAAAATACAAAACTAACAACAAATTTCTCTGCTTGTACTCAGCACTGAGGGATGTATTCCATCCATTTTCACGCAGTATTTTAGGAAATGTGATTCCTCTCGATACACGGGTGACCACGTCTTTATCAATATCCACCAAAAGATTATGCTTTTTTCCAATGCATAGTTGGCATCTGGTCTCAAGGGACCAGCCCTGATGGGGCTTACGCGATGACTTGTATAGAGTCATGCAGTAAGCGAGCGAGTTACTACAGGACTGAACAATTAGCAGTTGAGCACATCCGTGGAGAGTAGCAATAGCAGACTATGAAATATTGTTTTCTGGATTCTCCTTCCATAACAACTGCATCATTTACATACAAACATACTATAAATAGTTATCAGCATCTCTTAATACCATTAGTCCTTGTCAGCAATACACTGCAGGGTGAAGGCTTCTCCAAGATGACACTATGTGTCTTGTTTAGTGCATTTCTCATTCAGGTTATAATTAGTATAATCATTTATTTCCAAGTTTAATAGATTTTTTATGACTACATTATAAATGTATTTTCTGCCCCAAAAATAGGTATATTATTAACTTAACAAAAAACACATTGACAAAATGATTTGTTTTTTACTGAGTACAGCCACTTTACTTTTAAATTGATTACTAACAATTTGTTTTCTGCAACAAAAATAGGTATATTATTAACTTATCAAAAAACACATTGACAAAATGATTTGTTTTTTACGGAGTACAGCCACTTTACTGTTAAATTGATTACTAACAATTTGCTTTTGTATTTTCTTTTGCCAAAATGAAAGACCTGTAGTAATACGCAATAATTCCTTGTACACTATTATATTTGATGATTTTATGATAGATTTTTAGTTGAGATATTTGTTATTTAATAAATAATAGATAATTAATAGTATGCAAGACAGGCCATGCACAAAAACTAGTTGTGTGTGTAATTCATAAAATTCAGTCATGTGTGCAAGAGAAAGATAATTAATCCTGAACAAACATAATTTAATTTGATGCATAACTTGGGTTCATGCCAAATATGAGTTTAGTTCAATCATGGTTATATCAGATGAAAGAACATTAAATAGCAAATAATTTATGAAGCATCTCTTAAAAATATTGGAGGCGTCCTTCAACACATAAACTCATCTTAACATACAGAGTATTTACCTTCTTTATTAATAAATAATAAAATAATAACCAACCTGGAAATTATATTAATTTCTATCATTTAGTAATAATATAATATAGTAAAAAAAAAATTATTACAAATATTTCCCAAATAGGCCATTGAATATTTTAATGCAGACAAAAAACAGCATTTAAACCTAACTTAATGTATTTGTGGCAAAGACAAGCCAAACCAGTCACTCGTCGCAAAAATCGATTTTGAGTTATTAATACAGGGTTAAAGAGTAAAATAAAAGCTATAAAATGGTAAAAAAATTATTCAAATCTGACATTTCCTTATGAAGTGCCAAGCATTTAAGCATACAGCTGTTTAAAGAACAATATATGAGAAATCAGCCTTCAAAGTTTATGATTTCAGGCATTTCTCATGCAGAAACTATCATAAAATCTTTAAAAAGTGTTGTTTTAACATTAAAATTGGGAAAAATAACAGCACAGCATGATGTATAGATACATAAACCTCGGTTTAGTGAAATAAAATAGATTTTAAAAAATTTTACATTCCAGCATGTTTTTGCTAATTTCTCTGAAACACAATTTGCGACAAGTGACTGGTTTGGCTTGTCTTTGCCACATTTGCGTGTCATGACATTGTGTTCGCCATACGAACAATGAGTGCAGTGAGTGACCAGCTACGTTCATATCAAGCCCAGATCCAGTCCGGAGCCCGGAAAAAAAATCGTGAGTTGCTACATTTTTTTAACGCTGCGTTCACATCGTGCACGGAACACGGTTGTTTGGGTTAAGTATGTATGCGTTTGATTGGTTCGAACCAACCAAGCTTGTTGCTGATTCATCCAAGAAAAAAAAAACGTACGATTTCAGGATACAAATGGCTCTCAGATCCATCGGTCCGGATCTGGAGTCCGGATTGGAAATCGGACTCCAGATCGGAAATTTGATGTGAACGGTCCTATTCTTTGCCAGGATTTGCGCAATGGGGAGGGGGGAAATAAATGATGAAACTAAAATTATTTTATAGCATTAATTTAGTGAATTCATACCCTTCTAGAATTCTGTTCTTCTGCTTTGTATTCAGAAGGCGTTGCAAAAATTAAGGGATAGATACCTTGCTTCCTATGAAATATTCAAGGCCTTGACATTAAAATAAATTTGTTAATGATTAACTTGTGGTAATTTATCATTTATATTGAATTAACAATATATGCACTTAAAAAAAACATAATACTGTACGGGTACTGAAGGCTTACACTGAGACTTTTATTACTACCATAATTATATTCATCTTAAGGGAAAATCTCATAGGCAGGTTTATGAAGAAGCCAGTTGAGCATATTTGTGTGTTTTCAATCAAGGATAAAATGGAAAGCATATTTTGTGCAAAACTACACTGCTTCAATTACTGTATTGAATATTGATTCAAAGTGGGCGTTTATATGTAGTGTTGGTAGGAAGTTGCATAGTAACTTCACGCTTACCCTGCCATTATATTTGTTTAGCAACAATGTCAACATATTGCACACGATTTTAAACAGGTCGGCGCTTTGATAGTAATTGAGCTTCAGTTTGCAGCATGTCTGTTGATTTGGTTTGTTTGACAAGCTATCACTTGCAAATAAAGGATAATGGTGTCAACTAATCATCATTATGTCAAACTGTCATTACTGTCAGGAATGGGTACTGGGAAGCTACTGGCTGCTGCCCTGACCTCACCTCTAATCTTCTTCAGCAAATATCCCTTAGTCAAGTTATTATTTTTACAATACTATGTTGAATTTATGCATTAATTATGAAAATGTTAATATCACTATCAATATTTTTATTAACCATAATTATCTCAAATCACAGCACCCACTTTTGCAGTAGCCATCTAGACTCTGGCAAGTAATTGTAACATCGTCTAATTTTACAACTATTTTCACAAGAATTACAATTTTAGTCAGAATTTACTGCAAAAAAGAATTTGTATTGAAATAAATTATAAAATGTTTATCCAGGCGATAATTTGGAGATCTTTTTCACCGTTTATTTTCATTATCTTATAACTTCAACAGAAAAAAAAAACATAAATTTATAGGAAGATGCAGACACTATATAAATTGATTGAAATACACACATTTGTACACTTGGTAAAATGTGGCATAAGCATTAAAAATTTAATTGCACAGATGATACTCAAAAACTAGCTCAAATTTTAGCAGAAAATCACTAGGAAAATCGGTGTAGAGAATCGTAACTGCTGCATGATACATTTTTTACAGTATATTTTTAGATTAGGTCAAAGTTAAATTTTCTACAAAATCTGCTTGGAAAATAGGCCCTTATTTTCCGAAATGCGCAGACAAATTTCTATGCCTATACCTAATTTTTTCACTGAGCATATATCCCATAATTAGGAAATGGTAACCACAACACATTGAGAGACCACAATAATAATTTTAAAAAAATTGAATATTTTTTTCTGCATTTGAAATGGCAATTGAAATACGACAATTTACTAGGCCTAGGCATAACTTTTATTTTTAAAAATGCAAAATATATAAATAGGCCTTAGCCTAAGTTAGCTAGGAACACATCCATGTGAGGGCGCTTGTCAAAATCCCGAATAGGAAAGTGTTACCATATCGAGAAAACTTAGCGGTGATATGTTTAGAACATTTCCAATCTTAATAAAATACAAAAAAATGGAAAATAACTCATCCTCATATAAAAATTATGAAAATATCAAAGATTAATATATATACTAACTTTATGTAATGTTAATTTTTGATGTTATTTAAAATAAGACTCTGTCTGTGCCCCGAATGTTTAAATACCCTAGGCTAGGTAGAGTCTAAGCCATTCTAGGCCGTGATATGAATGATGTGTCATCATGTAGCCTACTCTACCAGAACGCGTGCAAATAGAGGAGACATTGCGTCTAGGCATAGATTAGTCTTTTTAGGTTAGGCCAGCTACCTAGGCTGTACACACGGTGTATGCACGCCTAGGCCTAGGCTTACTACTGTAGTCACAAATCCAAGACAGCCATATAGTATTAATAATACTAGGCCTAGGCCCTAGCTAGGCCTATATATAGGCCTAGGCACCTAATTATATTTCATCTATCTAGACCTAGCTCAGCTACCTAGCTAGCCAGCCTTAAATTAACTTAGGCCTAGGCCTATACATTTCTTAGGGGGCTTAGGCTAGGCTAGGCCTTTCCTTGGCCTAGAGCCTAGGCCTAAGTAGGCCCGGCCCCCAGGAAGCCTAGCCTCTAGGCCTACCTACCCTAGGCCTAGCCTTTTTTTTAAAGTAAACTTTAGGCCTTGTGGCAAGACTAAATAGGCCTATACAGACATATGTTTAATATAAAAATACAGCTTACCCTGAATCTACATGCGACATATTTATTTATTCAATTGTAAGACATTTCCAGCATGACAAATTTGAAAATAGAAAAACAGCAAAACAGCAGCAAGGATCGACGATCTCATCACACACATCAAAGTTTATTTTCTTGGTTGCCAAACCCAAACGTTGCCAAGCCAGGTCAAAGGTAGATAGGTCAAGATATTGGAATTGATTGAATGAATTTTTAACACTATAAAAATACATATTAACTATTTAAGTCATTAATAATATTTTTTCTATATATATATTTATATTATTGTTAAAATTTTTATATTATACACATTTATCTTATTAGCAATTGTAATAAAAACTTTTATTTTGTGTAGCCCATATAGCTAGCAGACAGCTTCTCGGTGTGGGCATTGACTATAAAATCGAAGTAGAGAAACAGCTTGTAACAGTTTTTTGTGTGCTTTGTTTTACCAAGGCCGTGGTTTGTGTAATAAATAAGGCTTTTAATTGTTATTTGAATTAGCGTATCTAAAATAAAATGATACTACGTTCCCATAAAATGCATTCCAATCAGACGATTTCCAAAGATGCTAGGCCTAAACCTGAACAAGAGGAAGACCTGCTGGACGATGGAAGCAGCAGTACTGCTGCTCATGTTGAAGAGAGAAAGCCAATTTTGACAGATTATAACGCTGGAGATATGCATGATTCCGCAGATATGGATGGACGTAAAAGAGCATACGGTAGTCGAGTTACTAGACGGTCCATGAAAGTTCGTTTATTAAATGTTGATGTAGTAACAGTAGTTTACATTAATATGTTTTTTTATTCGACTTGTTTCTGGATTCAAACAGGAGTCTTACCGGTGAGTAAATCTCATACTATTAAATTGAATATTTTATTGTAATACTGTACTAGGCCTATTCATATGTTTTGTAGACGTATTTTCCCTATTAGTGAAGAGGTTGCATAAGATGATAGTAATTAGTAATTCAGTCCTACTACTAGGCCTACCTGGGCTTAGTTCACTTCTGGCAATCTATATAAATATGTATGATTAATTAATGTTCTTTGTCTTTTTTGTTTTTTTTTTCTTTTTTCTTTCAGTACCTTACTCGATCATTGAATCTTGATACGGTTGCTTTTGGCTACCTGCAAACAATGTTTCATCTTATACAATTAATAGGTGGCCCCTTGTTTGGTCGGTTTGCTGACTTGTATGGTGGACGTGTAGCACTAAGCTGTGCATTTGTATCAGCTGCGGTGATGTATGGCACTCTTGGAGCTGCGACATCTTCATTTGGTGTTTTCATTTCACGTGTGCCTTCTTTATTCCTTCATGCATACCATGGTACAGTAGTATTATTTATTGGGAATTTTCAAATGTATTTGAGTATGCCTGGGTGGATATAGACCGTGGCAAAAGCCCAAACATAACCTAGTTCATGCTAGAGACCTAATATTTTATACATATTACACTTTCCATTAAAGAATGAATAATAAATTGAAAAGGCATTAACCTTATAAAACTAAATCATTCTGACAATAGGTTTTGAAGTTTTGGATTTTTATTATAACAGTTTTTATACTGTAAATGGTACCACCTCTTCTTATTCATTTCCTGGGACAACTTCATAGCCCAATATTTTATTTACAAACTTCTACTCTTAAATTCCTTAAAGGATTACAAGACGATTTAAGGGTACAGTTTGTGATTAATAAGAATGGTATTTGTGTTGGTTAATTGGTCAAAAATTATTTTCTTGTTGTTTCCTCCCAGCTTCTCAGATGATTATTGTAGATGCCACTGATCCGTCAAAACGAGCTGCTGCCTTAGGTCGCATTTCATTATCATATGGCTTAGGGATGGTCATTGGTCCATTAATTGGTGGTCAGATAGCTAGTAAATTTAGGTAAGGATATCCAACACATATCATACATCATTTATTTCACCAGTAAAATAATAATGAAAGTATGACTGACTGGCCGGATTGGCCAAAAGCAACACAAATACTGTAGCATATACAGTACAAAAATATATAAACATTTGAGTATAATTAAAATAATATATAAGTTCTCTTTAAACAATTTCATTTAAAAATTTAAAATATACAGATGTTAATTACTTATATACAGTGCATAAAATACATTACAAAAAAAAAAATTTTTAATTAACAAAATACGAAATACAGTTAAAATTTAAGTCAACTTTGCCTAAGTCTGATAATTTGTAAGTTGATCTAATTTTACATGCAAAATTGTTGTGTTTTATATTATTTAACAATCTGTAAGTCAAATTTTATCCAAGTCAAACAATATTTCAATGGCATTTTGGATTCGACTTTGGCAAGTTCAATTGTGCAAGAAATATGGTCATTACAAAATGGTAATCGGTACTTTGCATGTTTAATGATGAAATGACAAGGAATAATACTATGATTTTGAAAATCATCATTAGTCATCCATTCAGAATGTGAAATTGGATTGGTGTATTAATAGCTACAACCTATTTTATATCATTTGGTGTACTATGTCCATTATATTTTTTTATTCTATAAAAGACTACAGTGCATGCAAAATCAGACTTTGACAATACAACTATCTGTCTTTCTTGTTGTAGGGAATTAACTGCACATATCTCCATAAATAATAATAATTTGATAACTACAATAAATATTATAATACATTTAATTATTATAATATATACTACAGTACTGTTGGTAGTGTTGTTGAAAACCATAATTTACTAACACCATGCATTTAACATATGCATTGATTATTTCTTTTATGTGTGTATAGCATGATGTTTCTTTTTGTATCATTCACTTACAAACATTATTGTCGATGGTTTTTTTTTTTGGGCTATTTTCGTGCGCAGTGAGCAGTGTGCAGCTTTCGTAGCGTGTGCAGGCTCTATTCTTAGCGTTGCAATCGTCTTAAAATTCATCCCAGCAAATACAAAAGATCAGTCTAGAGTTACAAGTGGAAAACATGTTAATGAAGGTACAGTGTGTTGGAAATAGAGATATTGTAATTTGTTCAAATTTATTCTTATGTATTTTCACAAGAACTTGAAACTAATGAACTTTACACATACAAAATTGTACAACCTAAACATAATCAATTGAATAACATTGATTTAGTAAATGTTTGTATGTATTAATCTGATATTAGTTCAGTTTCTAATCATTAATTAGTATATGATACTAATCAAAATTTCAATCATTATGATTTGTAATGTAAACACAATCAATGGAAAACATTGTCTAATACATGTTTTTATGTATTAATCTAATATTAGTTCAGTTTCTAGTAATTAATTAGTATATGATAATAATAACAATTTCAGGCATTATGATTTGTAACGTAGAAATGTATTACTATTCATTATTCGTGTTGATACTTAATTCACCAATGATTGCAATATCTGCTGCCCTCTATAATTGTTTTCTTTCCCTGCTCTTTCAATTTTTGTTTAAGCTCTGCATTATATGTCATGTCACTTGTAGTAGTTACGAAAAAGTGAAATATAGTGAATTGGAATTGATATAAATTGCTATTTATATTTATTGCTTTTGATATAAATGGACATTTATATATATTTGCTGTCCTCTATAATATAGCTTTTCTCTGTTGCATATATAACTTTTTTTTTTCATCCCAATTAATTGGATGAAGGTATTAATACATAAATCAAAAATGACATTTATCTAATTGTGTTACCTCATAAAAAATGTTTAATATATTTTTAATTTGCTTTATAGAAGCTTGTATGATTGGTTTTGTTAGTTGTTGAATAATTTGAAATTAATAAAACTTCTTTCCAAATTTCAGAATCAAAGTCTTCCGAGGGAGTTTTCAGCATATCAAAGATGATTTCACTTCTCACTCAATCACCTGGTGCCATTTTCTTCCTCTTCTATATGTTAATATCCGGTGCTCCTAGTAACTTATTCCAAAGTATGCTCTCTGTGATCACAATGGAAACATTTGCTTTAACTTCGGATCAGACAGGTTTCCTACTTTCAATTACAGGAGTAATTTCAATGGTAAAGTTGTTGAAGTCGTATCACATAATCTCCTTTCTCAAAATTAAGTCATTTTATTTAGAAAATTACATGCAAGTTTATCCTTGCCTGTTAATAGTTATATCAATAAAAATATCAAAGAAAACAGATCAATTGGTTGGCAATGCAAAATAGAGTGGGCACAGGGAGGTACTTTCACAGATGGTGGACCTATACCACCTCAGCTCCAACTAAGGCTGAAGTAAGAACATTTCTGATTATGGCACCTCTAGATGGCTGGAAATTGCACTTACAGAAATTTGAATATGATTTTCTTTATATCGCCATCTTTAAAAAAATTTGAACAATGTATGGCTGTCTCTTATACACATCTAGATGTGTATAAGAGACAGACATGTTACACATCTAGATGTGTATAAGAGACAGGCCATCCATCCCCCCAACCCCTTAATTCCGTCACTGAGAACATATTCACTTGTTGCATATGTGAATGATAAATAATTTTCTTTTTAGCTTGTTCAAGGGATTGGAATTGGTATTCTTACCAAGAGGTTTAGTGATTCAAGTATTCTTAATGGTTCTATCATTCTCCTGCTTGCCTCATATCTATTACTGGTAAGTAAGGAAAATAGTTTTTTCATTAATTCTCAATTCAATTTTAATCAGATTAAAGAAAATGATAGTCAGAATAATAAAAGTTAATTAGAAAATATTTCCATGTATGCTTGGTATAAATAATGACAATTCTCAATCCATTATCAATGAATTTAAAGCACAAAAAATAATTACCTGAAACAATATTGGAGGTAAATTTAAGTACTTTCTGTATTTTATATTATTGTATTACCAGTTTTCAAAAATGTAAGAAAAAAAGGCCACTGATACTACAGGTCTCCTTCCTCTTAAAGATCACTTTTGGTTCCAGGGTCTTTAACAGCTTTGGTCTCTAACTAGAATAATAAAGATAAAAGAAATTTGTTAATTTGGGACCAAAGAAAAAATGGTGTCTAATTGGAGGGGCTTTAATTAGAGGGAGACCTGTATTATATTATATGAAAATGTATTGTATGAAAATAATGATGATATTATATTATTTAAATAATTATTTTTGATAATTTATTGCTGTATTAATATTATATGAAAATGTATTATAATAATGATGATATTATATTATTTAAATAATTATTTTTGATAATTTATTGCTACTCCTCAAACCTCATTAACAGAGTTTTAGACCAATGAGGGATCCAATTAAATTGTACCTTAGAGATCATACTGCTTATTAGAGGCCTGGCTTATTGATAAGTAATAAATTATTACTTAATCATAGTGATACAGGCAATCATAGAATGAAGTATGTGTGTTTACTATTCATTATCGATAGGCCTTTTCTTGTTTGATCTTTTTCTCCAGTGTTTTGTGTCCGACATAAAGCATCTGGTTTGTGTTCTCATTTTGATGACTTGTGGTCAAAGTGTCATCGGTACACTTCTCACAAGCTCTCTGACAAAGACAGTCTCGGTGACAGATACAGGTTAGATTTTATCTTTATTTTTAATGATGCGAAAAAGTAGAACAAATAGATAAAATAAATCCTAGTTTCATTTTGTTTTTGTAATTTACATGCACCAGCCATGAAAGGATAACATTTAAAATAGATGAAACAAATTCATATTTTTGTTGTATGTTATTTATATAGCGCCTTATCCTTTAGGTTACAAAGCACTTTGTTTTCCCAGGTCTTTGGGTCCACATGTTGCTGCCATATTGGCGCAGTAGCAGGCAACGCCACCAGGTACCCATATACTCTTGGGTGAAAAGAAGCAACGCAGATAAAGTGCCTTGTTCAAGGACACAAGCGAAATGCACAGCGAGGGATTGAAACTCCGACCTCGAGGTTGGGAAACCAAACCGTGGCCGCTGCGCCAAACCGCTTTTGCAAATATCCCGTAAAGAGTAATAATTTTTATTGTCATTTTGCTTTTTGTTTCATAGGTACAATGCTAGGCCTTGGACATGCTTGCCAATCCCTAGTCTCAACCATTTCACCAACCATCGGAGCCTACCTGCTAGAGCAGTTTGGAATCACTTCATTTGGAATTGTTGGCGTTGTTGTATACACACTTTTGCTGCTGACGCCAAAGAGCTAGTGCTCAGAGCAAGGGAGACTAAAGGTTGTAAGTTTAGTTATCATAATTTATAAGTGATTAATGTTTCATTGTAATACAATGGGGAACATGCCTCTTCCACCCAGGAATATCCACTGCAGAATATATAGCTGAAAACTATTAAAGTTATGAATTATGATACTGGTTATTATTTAAATTTAAATATTCATACTGTATATGTACTGTTAGACTTACCACATTGAAAAACTGGAGTTGAATGTCCTATATGAGTTCATACCTAAACACCATTTAAATATTTATTCTTAAGATTTTTTGGAAAATGTATGCATTTGTTAATGCTGATATTTTTTTCCTGTATGTGTTATCTAAATGATTATAATAACTAATTTTCACTCAAAACAAATTTACAAAATGAAAAAGTTTTGAAAAAAAATTGCGAGACAATGTTTTAGCTTGGTGGTTAAGGTGCCTGCCTTCCTATTTCAGGATTCTGGGTTCAAATCCGGTAAAAAGCCTGGATTTGGTTTTCTCCACAGTCCTCCTCCAGCTCATTCTTGGATGTCATTGGGTGGGTCAATCCAGCCCCAATTGAGCCTGCAAGTCTGTTCATTTACCCTTTTCTTATCAGTTTTTTCCCCAAAGTAGTTTGTAATAGTACAGTATAATCTTTTGGTGTTGTATAGTTTTCATGAAGACATCACTATCAAACAATAATGGTACATTTCTTTTTGCATGTATGTCAGCACAGGCCTACTATTTAATTTTTCCCTAATTTTCTAATAGTGTACCTTTGAAATTCAAATACTAAAGCGCAATATTTGAGTTTCGTACTTTTTATTTAGGGATGTCATTTGCTGATTTTTTTTTAAATTATTGTTGAGAGCTATTTTAGAATTTACCACAAACAGTATAATTAAGGTTATTTTGTTATAATTTTATTCATAATTTCTGTCAGGCTGTCAGGGATTGATTTTAAAAATGAATTTTTTAACCATTTTTAATATACAGTACTCTAATATAAATTGTTGAAATAGAACATTTTTATTCTTCAAATTTGAAATATTACCGATATCACAAACTTATATAATAAAGCTATTTTACTATATTTTCATAATTCTAAAAATGGTATTTAAAATGAGTATTTGGAAATAGGTTTTAAAAGTTTTATATTTTTAACATTATTATAAGAACCATATTTTTATTCAGACCAACTGCATTTAAAATATAGAATAAATCTTGAAAATTTATTATTGAGTGTTTTTTATATTTTTGTGTGTATTTTAAAGCAAGCATTTAGGTATGCTGCTGATGTGTGACAAGTCAGCATCTTTTCTTTATCAGAAATTGGGTACTTGTGGCCCAAGAATTGCCCGATAGGGGTTCGGGCGGGCGATGCCCCGATGAGGGGACCTGTTTTTAACCGATTCTACCACCACCATCACATCCCAGAAATATAAAAACATGGAACATCATGCCTAAAGGTAACAGCAGCGGATAAAAGGCAGAGAAGTGTGTCCAGTTATGCCTGGGCAAAATTTAGTGTTGTACATGGATTCAATAAGAAGTATATACATGTGTACTTTATTTCTAGGTGTAGGTTCCAACTTTAAATAACTCAAAGAACTGTTCCTGGGTTATTAGGGTACATAAATTAATGGTGGGAGTATGTCCAATCCTGTTTGTGATTCAGTAAAAGTTTCATTCCACACCTACAAACAGGACCCTACATTGCCGTGGGTGAATGCAGACCAAGCGTCTTGATCAAAGTTAAATACTATACTTTGCGAGTGTTGACACAATAGATTCATGTTGTGGTAAATGAATATAACCCACTTTTCCTGGCAAAACTTCCTGATATAGAAACTATCTTAAAGTTGGTATGAACGCACCAAAACAGCCTGGTTCCCTGAATCGAAATCACATGAGAATCAATATACAATTTCCTATTACAGCTCTGTATTAACCTGTTGATAAAGATAATGCTTTAAAACAAAGTGAATTCCTCTTTTGAATTTTGTCAAAATAAAAATATATTTATTAACATGGATTGATAGAAATAATAGGAAGTAGAGAGGACTAAATGGATAAAAGAATAATACGGTGTTACTAACGCCTGGTAGCCTAGGTGAGATGGGTTATACATCCTCTGTCTGTCATGTGACTAACCCATACAGTACCAAACAACCAGTAATCACCAATAATTGCAAGATTACTTACCATCTCAATGGCCAACGCTGCTGGGTCATTTAAAGTTTTCTTCGGGAATCATTTATGTTTCATATGGCCAATGTAACAGCATGGTTAAAACGAGGTCTGTGTCTTATGACAAACAGGATAAAGATATTAGAGTGTGGAAGTGATAAACAGATACTCGACCTCATCAGATTATCATATTATGTCCGATTATAAACATTTGATTTATTGATGATCAAGCGTTAAGTTCATGATGGGTGAGCCTTGTGCAGAGTGCGTCTTGATGCATCTTGTCTGGTGCATCTTATCAACGCGCGTGTACGGTTCTGGTGAGTCTTGTCCAAGCATGGAGGAATTAGTTTAGTCTAAACTAATTCCTTCATGGTGGTCCAAGTGCGTCTTTTTAATCCGTGACTTGTGTCTTGTCCTGGTGTGTCTCCATATGAGTCTTTTTCAAGTCCGCCTGAATCTGGTGCGTCATTTACCAGGTGCATTTTGACTATATGCTGCTTGTCCTTGTGTTTCTTGTCATTCCACACCCTAAGTTTATATAACAATTTTTCACCATATTTTTCAAGAATAAATTTATACAGTATATTGTAAATCAACATGCCTGTAAAATTCTTTGTGATTTTAAAAGCCAGCAACCGACATGGCGTGGGTATCTAAATAGAAGACCGATGATTAGAGTTTGAGTGCAACACCACCAGAGTTAAACATTTTTTTCTGCAAACGGTGATGTTGGGGAAACGTAGTAATATTCCCAGTAGCTTATACAGTATTCTTTCATCTCAGTTTCTCCGTGCACCAGCATACCAAACAATAATATCACGATCTAAATTTCATGAAATAAATGACTCACTTCAATGCTCCTTCAATCAGTGGCGCATCTTGGA